AGGCGGGACACCAGCCTCCGGCCCGCCCCGTCCGGCCGCCCCTCCCCACTTAGCGGGATCCGTGCGACCGCTGGGCGAGGTAAGGGCTGTGCAACGAGTGGTCCCGCGCGCTGCAGTTCATTCGCGGGGAGGCCGCACTATGCTGGCCAGATGCGGCCCTGATGGGGCATAGATGAGCGCTGCCTACACTTAATCACTTGGAGGAATGTGAAAATGCAGATTCCTGGGCCGCACGCCCACAGTTTCCGATTCAGCAAGCCTGGAATGAGGATCTGAGGATTTGCATTTCTAAATGAGTACCCTGGTATGGCCGGTGCTGCACACCTACAAACTGAACAGTGCAGCAAGTTGACACACATGCATTATGACTTAGGCTCCACTTTTCGGAATGTGCCAGAGAAACTTGTTCGTATACATTGAAAGATATGGATAGAATGTCAAAAACAGCACTTAAAATATTCCTCAAACAATTTTCAGGGAAGTTGCACGGTTATATACCCTTCCTCAAGATTCACAAGATTGTTACCGTGCCATTCAAAAGCAGTTTGTGTATGTGAGGCCCGTTCGCCCTTTACATCTTTATGTACACTCTAAGAATAGAAGTACAGACAATCAAATTCAGGAAATTGAACATTTAGGAAGCCTTTAATGATCTTTGTCCCCTATGCTGGTTTTGCCAACTGTTTCAATATAGTAATGTCTTTTCTAGCACTTTTTTCTCTGGCTAGGTCAGGATCGCTGTGGCATCTAGTTGTCACCTCTATTTCATAACCTTTAACCTAGACTGGTTCCTCAGCTTTTCTTGCCATGCCACTGGCATTTTTTAAGAATTCAGGCAAAGGGCCAGGGATTCAGCTCAATGACACCACATCTGCCTCACAAGTGCAAGGTCCTGAGTCCTATCCCTGGTACCAATTAAAAAAAAAAAAAGAGAGAGATAATGAAGTATGATAGAAGAAATAAAGGTAGGTGTCTGGCCTGTCCTAAACCAACAGGAAAAAAACAGGCTGCTTTCAGCAAACAGCAGCTTCCCAGTAAATAGGGCAAAGAGACTCAAAATGTGGTATACAACACCCCTGGCACTGAGAAGTCCAGTAACTATATCCCCACCTGAGAAGACCGTTCTTGGGCATCCAAGTCATAAAAATTCCTTATGATTAGGGCCGGGGATTTAGATCAGTGGTTCCACTGCCTGTTTTGCAAGTGCAAGGTCCTGAGTTCAATCCTCTGTACCAAAAAACAATTCCTTATGATTATAGCCCCTTCCCCAAAATCTATATATGTATAGCCTTCCTTCCCTGCTGGCTGTTGTCTCTCCCTCCCAATGTTAGCCCATCTACTCACAGATAAAGATATTTCCCTACTAGCTGCTAAAATCTGATTTTAGTTCCCAATTCTAGTCCCTGTTCACCGGAATAAACTTTTTCATACAACAAAGAGCCTATTTGGTTTGGTTTGGTACCCAGGATTGAACTCGGGACCTCACGCTTGCCAGTCAGGGAACAGAACCACTGAGCTCAATCCCCAGCCCCAAGAGCCTGTTTTTTGACAAGTAGATTATTTATAACAATATATTAAAAGGAGACAATAAAACTCAATTTTTTTTGTTATTGTTTTGCACAGGGGATTGAACTCAGGACCTTGTGCTTGCAAGGCAGGCAGCAGAACCACTGAGCTAAATCCCCAGCCCAAAACTCAATTTTTTTTGTTATTGTTTTGCACAGGGGATTGAACTCAGGACCTTGTGCTTGCAAGGCAGGCAGCAGAACCACTGAGCTAAATCCCCAGCCCAAAACTCAATTTTTTGTCTCCCTTATTACATTAAAA